TTTTTTTTTTTTACCTTTTTCGTTGGCTTAGGCCAACGAACACTTCTTCACGTGGCTTTTCAGCCACGTCTTCTGAAATACAGGCCTGAGTTCGAATCCCAACGGATTCAAAAAAAAAATTGAAGTTTTTTATTTTTTATTTTTTATTCCGTTGACCCTCAACCAACAGTCACACCGTATACCTCACGTGGCTTTTCCGCCACTTCCCTTGAAATGCAGGCTCGAGTTTGAATCCTTATGGATCCCCAAAAAAAATATTGTCTATTTTTTTTTACGATTTTTTTGTGTCATCCTTGGGTATTAGTCATGCAGCATCCGCGCGGTTGTTCCAGGCCGCGCGGCCGAAATCGGCCACGCCGGATTGCTTTTCTCACGGGCCGAAATCGGCCGCGCCGGATTGCTTTTCCCATGGCCAACTCAAAAGAGTTAGCCCAGATAGTGTCGCGTCGGCTTTGACCCCAGGACCTTCAGGGTGAAAGTTTGATGCAGTACCTACTGGGCTAGCTCTTATTATTGGAGCCAAAGCAGCAACCCTTCTATTTGAAGGATTGCGCCCAGTAGGCCGCCTCCAGCCTGAGGCCTTGCAGGCCCTGCCTGTCTACCGTTTTCCCGTAGATGGCTACCCATTCACGGCCAGGCCTCGGCACCGGCCTATCGGGCCCGTGGCTAGATGTTAAACCCCACGGCCCTTGAAAATAAAAATATATTCCTATGCCTCCCGCGTCGAGGCCCCATACCTGGCGCATCCCTCTTTTTAGCCTACTTAGGCCCCGAATCGCGCAGCTGCTATTTTCAATAGAATAAGTCTGATTTTAGTACTTCAACACCCGCACAAAAACTTTCACTTTTTCGGTCATAGGTTAGCCTGAATGAACTTCTGGCAAACGTCATTTCATCGAGTCCTTCAATTCAACGAAAAATCCCCGGCCCCGACTGCGCCTCCTCTTTTCTTGGAGGAGCAATCATTTCGATAATAAACCCCAAATAAATACGACACCTTATTTTTCACCAACAGACCCAATAAATCATATACCCGCACCCAATTGTAATCTATAACCCCATTTTTTTTAATTAAATCGTTTCCCAAAAGAATTGCTCATAAATATTTATGTAGATCATTGCCAACAATTAGAATCCGAAGTAGGAAGGGTGAAGCAAAAAAAAAAAAACGAAAAGAAAAAATAAAAGAAAGAAAAAATAAGAAAGGAAACGAAAAGAAAAGAAAGGATAGGAAAAGAAACCCACTCCCTTTCTTTGAACCAGTACAACCAGAGATTGCACATGGACTATGGAGATTATGCAAATAGGCGGCGGGGGAGAACAAAATCTCACTCAAATATATCACAAACATTACTCCGTTGCCATCAACCGTACATGCAGGTGTAGAAGAGGGGGGGGAAAGAAGGAAGGGGGAAGGGGGAAGGGGGGAAAAAAAAGACTAAGGGAATAGTGAAGTAAGCGGGGAAGGAGTGAACGTCCTACTTCAACTCTATCCTCCAGATCCCTGCAGCGCTTTTCTACCCTATGCCACACGAGGCGTCATCAAAGTGGGGACATCTTCCATCGTCTTTGGAAGGCGAGGGGATAAGATGGGTCGAGGCTTGGAAAGCGGAGGTGGGAGGTTTATGGGCCATTTGGGGGGACAAGAGGGGAGGGGGAAAGGAGGGGAGCCCATTGAGGGTTTGAGGAGGAGGGCAAGGGAGGGAATAGATGAAGTAGAGGAAATGAAGGAACGAGAGAAAGGGGTGAAAGGCCAAAAAAACACATTATGATGTCTCCACGCTCGTCCTAGACTCCATGCGTGCGTTTCTCCCGATCCTATACCAGACGCTCGATCGTGAGCCGGCGGACAATCCCCAGCGCGTAGCATAGGCAGCAGCAGCCGGTGAGGAATAGGGTTAAGAAGCAGATAGTGCCCCCAAGCAGAGTAGCGAAGCGCTTCATCGAAGAATAGAGGAATACCCTCTCGAAGATGCAGGTGATGAAGAGCAAGCAGGCTATGACAAGATTCGGTAGTGGGGTAAGAAGAAGAAGTGGAGCAAGTATGGCGCTTAACGATGTCGAGGGATTCGCGGCTCATGACGCAGGGGGGTCGGCGGGGCAGCACGCTGCAGTCTGCATAGCGCTATGCCGACGTACAGCCAGACACAAGTCCTTATGAAGAGTGATCCCCGAGGATGCTCATGCTAGTGGGGTTACCACTTCTTCCACCTCTTGTCGCTCTTCCTACTGGTCCCAGTCGGCGAAGAAATCCATGTCGCATGCAAACCCGCAATCCTCTCGCGAAGTAAAAACCGGTATGCACCACCCTCCGATTGGTGTCAGACAAGATCGCAGTGTTGTGGCCCGATGAACAGTACCCTACTATCGGTATCCTAATATAGTAGTGGCGCTCAGTGTCCTGTATACGAGGAGGATACTTCCGTCAGAAGCCACCATCCCCTACCGCTCATTTGTTCATACTAATCTGATGGCCGCAAAACAAGTACTCCAGTCCTTGGGATTCATTCAAAAGAAAGAAAAAAAGCAGAAAAAAGGCAAAAAAAAAAAAAAAAAAAAAAAAAAAAAAAAAAGGCAT